CGATGTTTTGACTTTTGCCACAGAAGCCATCATCCGAGTTGTTTAAAGGCAGTAATCTTAAAGTATTAGTGCATGTGAAGTATCCTAATGATGGTTTTCGTGCTGGAAGCAGAACATCGAAATAAATGAAAAATCTGTATTGCGCTTAAACTTGCTGTTGTGTTGAAATAGTTGGAAATTTAAATTTCATCAAGTAAATTTCTATTGCTTCATGATATTGATTGTGTCGATGAATGCACAGATCGAATGTCTCCATTTCGTCTGTTCGAAAACTAGACACGTGAGAGCGAAATCTTATCGAATTTAACGGTCTTTTGCCCAAACAGAGAAGGGTTGCGTCTGTTTTAAGTTGCCAGCAAATTACTTCCTCTCCCTCACTGGCAGATCCATTGGCCTAGGCTTTCATCCTCTCTAGCATCCCAGTTAGGTTATCTGTTTCTAGTCTATGCTCAAACCAGGTTTGATTTTGCCTGTATTAAACGTTTTTTATCCTATTTTGAAAGTGTGCGATGAGAATGTTTTTATATAAAAAGTAAAACGTTAACTTTTAGATCTTCATGATGGTTTAGTTCATACAATTATTCATGAAAGGAAGGTTACATAATTTTGTCTTCCAAAATGCAATATGATCTCAGTCCTTAGGGTGCTGTATCTGAGAATGTTGATCACTAAGTAGTATTACAGTATTTCACATGAGAAGTGCCAGAATTAATCGTTTACAACTTTGATTACATGTGAGGTATCAAATATATTGAATTCTGAATGAAATATCGAATAGTTAGTCTTTATATGATACAAATTGTTTTTGTTTTTAGAATGGGCGCACCTGTTATGGTTGAACTTGAAGGCGAAATTGACCCCTTGGAAATCGCTCGTAAAGAATTGAAATCGCAAAAAGTTCCCCTAATTATTCGACGATTTTTACCGGACGGCAGTTATGAAGACTGGGGCGTCGATGAGTTGATCATTACAGACTGGTGATCGGTGTCATTGCTTTTTTTGTAAAAATTTTACTTTTTTCTGCCTTTGTTAATTATTAAAAGTGCTAATATGTGAGTACAAGACGAAGGTTACATCTTGAAAGCAGAGGTCTTCTATACTCTTTTGTATGGCATCGAAAATTCCGCAGTCCTGAAGCGCGAAAAACAAAATAAATTGCTTCCATCAATGCTGCCTGCGCAAAATTTTTAAAATTCCAGTGGTGTCATCGAGTTAAGCATGATAACATAGTAGAACCACTAATTCGACAAAGTTCGCTGAAAAATTGAAAGATCGACGCCTGTCCCGGTTGAATAAAATGGCTTAAGCCTCATAAAAATGTTCCTTGTATGAGAGCCCTCAACCGGCAAGTTTAAAAGCTGGCGAATCCTGCAACATGATCTGCAGGCAAAATATTTTTTCTCGAAGCGATTAACGCTTATAGTAATCTGAAGACTTCCTGTATGTCAGACCACTCATCCGGGATAAACGGAGTTGCTAAGCTGCTGGTTTCCAGATAACGATGAAAAACAACAACAACCTTCTGTAAAAAATAACTCCACCGTTTCCGATCCCAAGCCCGATTGAAAAAGGAGAGTTAGAGGCAGAAGCGAAGCTACGTGAAGCTTAGTAAGCTGCCCCTCATGGCACTGCAGAGGGAACGCCATGCTAGCGAGGTCGTCGCCCGTTTTTTGAAGACTGTTTTAGAACTTAGATGGATTCCCAAAGTCGGTGATCAGAACCTGATTCCCGTCTTGTGACCGCTGGGAACTTAGGAGCAAGACGTCGGCTATCGACTAAGCATACGCAAATGAGTACCAGTCAGCAGTGGAGTCGCTAGCCTTTTTTAATTGAGGTAGAATGTAGTACTGTACTTTTGAGCCTGTGACAAGGGTCCGCGGGAGTGATACTGGGAGTGGGAGCTCAGAGTATGAAATTGTAGCACCTGTTCAATCACAGAGAAACAAGAAGAGCTGATTGATGAGGGCGTAGGGTACCGAGTGAAACTAGTACAGTGAATTGCTAGGGCTTTGCAGTTCTGACTTTCTGCAGATGGAAGCTGTTCTATTCAACTTGTGATCGCATAGCACGCTCAAGCCGGTGTTTGTGTTCTGGTAGAACCCAACTCGACCGACAGAATCATTGAATGGAAGCCTGTCAGCCTAGGAGTGGCAATCTGACTACCGAAGTTACAAGAGAATAAAGCGATGACCTTGTTACAATTCTCTGCGTCCTA